ATTTTTTATTTTTGTTTCCTTCCATTTCGGTAGCGAGCTCGTGGACCGTTTCATCGGGACCGAAGCTGCCCGGCGTCGTTCCCGGCTGACTCTTCAGCCCTTCGGGGTGGGCTCCGATGAGATTGCCGACGAGCGCGAGTGAAATATCGAGATAATCGCCGAAACGACCGTTCACGATCGTTTGCGTTTGCGACCGCCACGAAATACACGAAACAATAACCGTGAGAAGTAAAACGACCGCGGGGGAAGAAGCACGAGGTGCCGAGAAGGACCGACGCGGTAGAGTCGAGAGGGAGAACGGAAGGAGGAGAGAGCGAAGCGAAGAAATCGAGAATGTAGGCACTAACCCCCCCACCCCCCGCCGACATTGTGCGTACTGCGTCGTGATGTCGCCATGTTCGTCGCTGTCCCGATGTTGTAAATTCTGTCTTGTGTCGTGCTTGCGAGGTAGCGAAAGAGATACGAATAAAATGATAACGTCCGATGGAAGCGAGAGTCCCTCCGTCGATAAGTGTACCTTGCGCGAAAGAGAGAGAGAGAGAGAGAGAGAGAGAGAGAGAGAGAGAGAGAGAGAGAGAGAGAGTATGCGGGAACTGTGTAGGCAAGCTATGTAGCGAGTGAATGCACTGTTTTCTCGAGGTAAGCTTCTTCGTGTGCTTCGTAGTTTAACCCACGACGTCGTTTTGTCTCTGAAATCCGCCGATCGATCTCCGCGGACCTCCGCGGCCGCGATCTTTCGGAGGAGACGCGTCTCGCCGGCGTCACGGCGTTATTTCCGCCGGCGACGCGTACTCGCGATACATTTCCGACGTAACAAGTGCGCGATTTCAAGTACTCGCAGCACGTAACATCTATCGAAGCGCGGAGATCGCAGACACCCGAGAGATGAGATTTCGTTGGGTGCGAGAGAGCGGTGGCAGCGATCTCTTGGCTCCCTCGAGATTTTCGTTTTCCACGCGTGGAAAGTAGATCCCATCGGAAAGTGGAGGAATATAAAGAAATGTAAATAAAAAAAATACTTTTGACTTTTGCGCGACACTTTTCAGAGTAGAAAAGATCGCAGGTAGGCTCGCCGCGAGCAGTCGGCTCGTCGGTTTCAGAGACAAAAGTCAGGTCGGTTTGCCGTTAGTTACGCCGAGTGTGATCTCTGATCGGACGTCACGCGACCGTGACGATCAGTAAATCATCTTCATCCGAAAACACGAGCATTACGATTTCGTTGACCGCCGTCATCAGCGTCGAAGCAGATCCTTACGCGAGATACTCGCGCGTAATCAAGAATCACGATGACTCATCATTGATATCTCGGAATGCCTCCATTCGCTAATTTTCGTGTCTCATTTTCCTCGCGTATCGTCATAAAAAAACACACACACATACACACACACACACACACACACACATATATATATACAGGGTGTTCAGGATCTTTTGGAAACGAAAAATTGTAAAGATTAATCAAATGGAACCGAGAAGAAAAGTCTAATACCATTTTGCAAAAATCGCAACAGTTATTAGCTCTTTTAAATGACAAGTTGAAAATTTGCGTACTTACCTGCAAAATGGTAAAGGACGTTTCTGTTCAGAATGACCTAATCCACAATTATGTGACGGCCATTGTGTCCAGCGATAGATATGAGTATATTGAATTTTGAATCTTGAATCTTGAACCTGTCGCTAATTTTGCAAATAAGTACGTAAATTTTCAAGATTATCAATAATAAAAAGAGCCTCTCTCTAGACGCGGTCATTTTCAATCATTAATAACTTAGTAACTAGTGCGATTTTTGCAAAATGGTACTTGACTTTTCTTCTCCGTTCTTCACAATTTTTCGTTCCCAAGAGATTCCGGACACCCTGTACATGTATATGCGCATACGTAGGCATTAGGTGTATGCAAAAGTTTTAGTCCTCTTTCAGCCCTCTAAAGTAATTATTTTAAATTGAAGTATCTCCCCACCGTTTTTCTCGTATTTTTAGGATAAATTTCGTGTAAAGAATACATGCCGAAAACGCGAAACGGCGGGGAAATATTTCAATTTAAGATAATTACACTAGAAGGGGCTGAAGAAAAAGACTCAAACTTTTGCATGCACTTAATATACATGTATAACACATATATGTATGTGTGTGTGTGTGTGTGTGTGTGTGTGTATTTATATGTAAACAAAGTCAGATAGGACAAGGAAATTGTCGTGTCACTTTTGTGTCCTGAACTCGTTTCTAAAATTCCGTCCACGTGTTGCAAGACACCCTATGTATATGTGTATATATATATATGTATGTGTATATATGCATGTATATGTATGTATATGTATATATATGTAAACGAGCAAAACGCGTCTCTGTCCCGTGTGACTTTTGCCACCGTTACTAGACTAACCAATCAGCCCTCACTCATCGGCTCACACCACACACACCTGCACACACTCGGTGCTGCATGTAACTGTAGCGACACCGCTTTGTTCACGCGACATCCTCTAGAGTAGAGTAGAGTCCTGTGCGTGGGCTTTTCTCTGGACTTTCTTGGTGGTTGTGATCCTGCGAGTGCTTCGTGAGAGGCACAGTTCCTCTGTCGTTAATCGATCCTTTGTGTTTCATGTGCTCACGGTCACACACAGGCCCCGGCCAACCCTTGACGGAGCGAGAGCTGCGAAAGGGTCAGTAAAGGCACAAAGCAATTGATCTTCTTTACCCGATAATCCGCGTGAATGTGCGGTAGAGCGCAGTAGAACCTTGACAATTGCAAGCAATCGCGATTGTGGGGACGTGATTCCTCTCGCACGACGCACGAGCCGCCGCGGAGCGAGCTCGATCTACCATGCCCGTTCTACTGTGCCACCCCCCGCCCCCCGTCAACTTTGTGTATACCACCCCTGTTCTCATGTCTTCTCACGACTTTTAGCACGCGCGTTCGAAAGCGACGAATACACGCCTCAGCAAGAGAAGACAAGTAAGTCCCCGAAACACGCTGAATCGCGACCAAAGCAAACCCAACCCCCCCCCCCCCTCGGTCAGTCATCTGTCGTTCACGTTCACCCTGTACACCCCGTAGTTAACAAAGCGGAAGCGGAAAAGAGATCGAGGAAGAGGGCGGAAGCGGAGAAGGAATCGGAGCCCATACTCGAGTCGCAGGCGGAAGCGGAGCCGGAACCGGCGAAAGAGCCCGAGCCGATAGCGGAAGCAGCGAAGGAACCAGAACCGATCGCCGAGCCGCAGGCGGAAGCGGCCGCGCCAGTGAAGCCATCGAAAGCTTCGCTGAAAGCTTCGAAATCCGCAAAGCACGCGAAAGCCGCGAAAGCGGCCGAGCCGAAAGCGGAAGCCGCGCCGGAAGTAGAAGCCGCGAAAGCGCCGGAGCCTGCGAAAGAACCGGAAGAGCCCGCGAAGGAAGCAGAGCCTGTTCCGCCAGAACCGGCGGCGGCGGAAGTGTCGGCGGAAGAACCGATCGCGGAGAGCGAAGGCGCGCAGGCTGTAAGTGACGAGGCTAAAGAGGACGAGGACGAAAACGGTACGTTGACATCTCTCGGTCCCGCTCAGACTGAGAAAGAATCCGCTTTCGCCGCGGCCGGAAACGAGCGGCCGCGCCTCGCAAGGCAGGATCCTGCCGGGTCCTGTCGCGCTCGCGTCCTTGTTAACAGCGTGTCGACTGCACGAGGATAGATGAGTGTGTGTCTAGCGTCCGTCGGACCTTTCTCGTTTCCGCGCTAGATGTGTGTTTGTGTGTCTGTGTTCCCCCGTGAGAGCGACGTGAACCGCGAAATATCCCCCGAGTGTCCACTCTTCGCAGCGATCCTTCAGAAGTCGCTCCTTATGTAATGAGGAATCGATACGGCGGCGATAGCGGGCCGCTCGGTCGCGCCGAATAAGCGCGTCCGTGTTCGAGAAACTCTCTTTCTCTCTGTGCTCTCCGACTCGAGTGAGAGAGAGAGAGAGAGAGAGAGCTTGGAAATTAATGCAATAAAGACGAGACTGGTTGCAATTTTGCTGACAGCCGTTGACACGGGATTTCGCTCGGACTCGACGGTGTCAGCTTTCTGTTCTCGTTTTTCTTTTGGGTTCCTCCGCTTCAATTTTTTTCTTGTTTCATTTTTGTACTTCTTCTTCTTCTTCTTTTTCTTTTTCTTCTTCGTGGACTTGTTCGATAGATTGCAAAGTGAGGAAAATTACACCGTGAACTTCTCTCGTCTCCGTCTTCTCGAGACCTCCGAATTCGAGTCTCTGATCGAACAACGTGTTGTTGCAGTGAGGCGAGAGAAGGAGGACGCCATAAGGAGGGCTGAGGAGTACCTGCGTAAAGTGGCTCAGGAAGCGCAGTGAGTGACTCTTCTGTTTAATAAGCCGTGAAATAAAGCCCTGATGAAGAGTACGAATAAAACAGCGGGGGCTCCTCAACAGCCGCGCCCACGAGTGCTGTCGAACTTTGTTAATTCGCGCTCTCACGCGGAGTCAAGAGTGATTCGTTAACTTTCGGACGTTGCGCTCCTATCCGGATCCTGTTTTTTTTTTTCTTTTCAACCAAGTTTTTGCGGGCACATTAGGGGTTGACTAAAAGACGATTTTACTTATTTCTCAACATGGAATCTATCCTCCAAAGTCGGTCGGTAGGTCTCTCGGGTACACCCTGTATATTAGGAGGCGTGCACTTGGCTCTCAAAGGTTAGATTAGGTTAGGTTGGCCCTTCGTTATTTCCTTTTGTTTAAAAACAACGCGCGCGCGCGTTAATCATAATACATAACGCGATACAGCATGACGGGTCAAGCTGTCGAAACGTGACAAATTAGCCGGATAATCAACAGTCATTAGACAGCCCGCACGAGCACGTCGCGAGCGCGCGCAATTAGGAAGATTCGAGCGAGAGTTTCGGCCTATTAAATTAAGGCTTTGTGCGAGGCTCTGTCCGTGCGCGGCGTGGTCGGCGCGCGATAAAACAATCCGCTCGATACACGTGGCGTAATAATACGGTTGTTTTTGTCACGTCAGCCTTGAACTCGCTCGGCCGCGCGTAATCCGCGCGAGCGATTCCTCACCTTCGTGTGCCTCGAGGACAAATCGCCTTCTGACTGACGATGAGTGATCGATCCTTGAGATCACCAACGGCCGATCATTCATATTCGACCGCGAGAGCTCCGCACTGCGCAGATTTCTCCACTTCCGCCTATCGGAAGTATTCTCTAAGCTTCCCCCCTCTCCCCATCCCACTCGCTCGCACACAGCACGGAAATCGATCAATTGCGACGATAATTGTACCAATCGCAATTTTTTCGGCGACTTGAGCGCGCGACTCGCGTCCGCGTCCTGCTGGAGCGTTCGCGTCTCGAGATCGAGCCTCGCCAAGAGTGACTTTGTCCCTCTGCGGAACAGGTCGGAAGAGGAGAGGCGGAAGGTCGCGGAGGCGGAACGCGTGGAGCTCGAGATGGAGGAGAAGAAGGCGTGGGAGGCGCTGCAGCTTGCGCAGGAACGGAAAGCGGAGCTGAACGAGATACTTGAGAACGAGCGGAAGGAGGTTGAGAGGAAGGAGGAAGAAGCGAAGCTGGAGGCAGAACGCGAGGAAGCGGAGAGGGTGGTCGAGGAGGAAAGGTAAACGTGCTGCGCTCGGGGTGAGAGACTCCTGGGGAAAGCCGGCATGGACGACCCGAAATCGCCCCCGACCAGACGAACTTTGCGCGCAAAGTGTCGAAACGGTCGAGGGCAAACTATCGAGCGCGAGAGGGAAGGAAGTTTCCCAATTGTTTGTAGTATTATCGGCCCTTCCCCCTCCTATCCTTCTGCTCCTTCGGACGTCAATATCAGTATGATCATGTCTGATAGATGCATGTGAAAAAATATTCCGATGAGGACGGTCTCCCGGTGGAAATTCTGGTGAACGATGTACACAGAAATTCCGAACTAAAGTACTACAGCAGGATTCAGGCTGAACTGTCCGAATTTCTGCGGAATTTAAACAGATTCGTTAATTTCTAAACAAATGATTTTGTAGACAGTTTTAAACAGTTTTTTAACAAATTTTGGTACTTTCAACCGAGATTTTTATGAATCGTTCATATTTCACCGGTAAAAAATGAGCGACATGCTGGGATTCCGGCTAAAGTTGGCAGAATTTGGTCTAAATTATCAGGATTTCTCCAGAGAATTTAAAGAGACAATTTGTTGAATTCTATAAAAGTGACTTTACAGATGTTAAACATAATAATTGAAGCAAAACGAAATTTCGGCAAATTTCTGAATCGGAATTTCCGAATCGTTTGCATTTCGCTGGAAAATTCGTTCGAAAACTCGAGCAAGGATTCCTTCCATGCATCGCTCGGTCCGTCGACAGGATAATCAACCAGACGAGGATGGAGACGCTGATACACGAGCAGGAGCGGCTGATAGTCGAGGAGCACCTAGAGGAGGTCCAGCAGCAGAAGCAGGAGCAGGAGGAGAGAATGGCGGACGTCGCGCAGCCGGCGGAGGAGGAGCCGAAGGACGTGAGCTGCGCGGAGGATCCGGCGACCATTGAGATGACCGATCAGGAGCGGGAGGAGAAGCCATACGAAGCTACGACGGACGACGAGACGCGGGTGAGAAGCGCGAGCTCGCCCAGAGTGACGAAATCTGCAGCCGGTCCCTGAGTCCCGGAGCGTCAGAGCGAGACTCGTATTTTCCAGGTCGAGGAGGAGAACGTCCCGGAGGAGGAGCACCCGGAGGTGACGGAGACTCCGTTCGTGGAAGAGCCGGAAGGGGCCGAGGGCAGGCCGCAGACGGGGCCGATGGCGAGCGAGGACGCGCCGCAGATCGAGGAGGTCACCTCCGGCGGCGAGGAGGAGTTCGAATGGGGCGATCAGGACGTGTAGTCGTCGCCGAGTCGTCGTCGATTCCTCTTCCACGAGTCCGCTTCCACCTCGGCCCTGTTCTTTTCAGCCGAACTGGCCGAACGGGCACTTATCGCCCGCCGCGAAAACTTGGAGCGAAGCAGCACGGGGGAGAAAGACTCGGTCGGACGAGCGAATTTCTGGGAGATTCGAAGACGAGCCGGAGATTCCGACTCGAGCTACCGGAAGCGTCCCAGCGTCCAAGTCGATCGCAGGATCTCACGGCGACTTGAGTCGCGAGTGAAGCTGGTAACTCGAGCCGGAAGCTCCGAAGTCGCTCGCATCTCGCCGGAAAATCCCCTCATTCGAGCGAACTCTCTTCTCCGTGAGGTGACACACGCGACCTGGCGGCCTCCGGGGGAGGAGGAACGAGCTTCGCCTCGGCTAAGAAGAACAGGCCTCTCGTCATCCTGTGTCCGCGGGAGATCGCCATCCGAGTCGTGATCCTTGCGGCCTCGGGCGAGCCGACCGTCGAGAGACTCGTCCTTGCTGTCGCTCTCGTGTCTCTCGTCCCTCTTGCGCGTATTTATTTCATTGTCGATCAGGAAGTCGTCCTGTTGCACGTGTCACGTTGCGTTGCGTTGCGTTGCCTCTGCGGCCCGTTGTGTGAGAGAGAGAGAGAGAGAGAGAGAGAGAGAGAGAGAGAGAGGGCGGTGGAGCCGGTGGATCGAGTCGAGGTATCGATTTTCGATGGTCTACCGGCGCTGATTCGTTTATAGTCCCGAATAGTAATCGGGTAGAAATATCGCGACGAATTTGAGCCGCTCATCCGGAGCCGGTGCAACGGAGAGACGGCTTCGTCGTTTATTTTTACGGCAACAGCTTCGAGCTCGAGCCATGGAATTGGTTTGACTACGACGGTGCGCACAATCGATCGGAAGGACGACGATTCCGGAAATAGTCGCGAGAGCACGTATGAGACAGGATTAGCGGCGGTCTCGCGACGGCGACGCCCGAGTCGAATACGAGTCGGCGAATTGCGGCAGCTCATTCGCTCCTCCATTATTTAGTATTATTCCTCGCGAGAGAGAGAGAGAGAGAGAGAGAGAGAGAGAGAGAGAGTGCTATTTATTTCGTAAAAAGAAAAGAAAAGTGTGCTAATTGAGCGAGCGAGCCCGGAGCGTCGCCGCGGCTGCTTCACTGACGATGGACTGATCTTTCACGCACGGAGAACAAGAGAGAGCACCAAGCGAGCGCAGAATCTGTTAATTGGAAATTTGACGAAAATACACATCAGGTACACATATTTTCAATTAACCCGAGTCGATTATTAAAGACGCTCAGCACCCTCCACGCGCGCACATCGCGAGCCTTCGGCGGCGGCTTCTGCCTCGCGATTTCTGCGTCGCGGCTCGACCTACTTCAGGAGGAACGGTACTATTACTTGCGTTTCTTCCTTCCTCCTCGCTACGTAACAGAGTTTAGGAGGAAAATACGCAAGAAACAACAGCCGCGACAGTCTCTCTTCGCGTCTCTTCCCGTCCCCTTTACCGCGCCCTTCGACCTTGGCGAAACGTTGCGCAATTCGTCGTGAGGAGACCTCGTGCTGTCGCAGTCGATAACGAGACGAACAATGACGTTTGCGGCGGTATTATGCGAATTGCGTCATTGCCAAGATCGAACGTGCGGTTCGTCCTCGCCGACGGGACGACCAGCAGGCGTGGGTGGCGAAATCGCCGAGACTGCCATAATCGCGCGACTCGCGCTTTTGCCGGCTTTCGGTCCGATGTCGGCTCGAAATTCCCCGCAAATTCGACGGAATTTGCGAAGGGCCCACTAGAGTCTGCTCTAGTGCGCGACACTGCTATTGGGAACTCATCGAAACAGACGTGCGTCGCGCTTGTTGTTCTGGAAAATGCTTGATTCCACGAGCTTTACTCGGTGTGGTGATATACTCTTCTTTAACGCTCTATACATACAATTCAATATTCTGCTCATTGGGACGAGAAATGAAAATCAGATGTAGATGAAATGCTGAGAGAGATTCGAGTATTAAATAATTCCGAAATCAGCCTGTCCTTGTCAGATCCGACGAAGAGAAATCTCCGTCTGCAAAGCAAAAGAAAAAGAAGAACGAAACACGAAATCAAAACCGCAGGTTTGGAAGAAGTCCGCGAAAAAATTCCGCGAATGAGGCAGCTCGGCTGAGAGAACTCAGGCGGTCGCCGTCGACGTCGATCGTGTTTGCGTCTGCGGTAACACAGCGTCGTGTTGAACCGTCGCGGGGTTTACACGTGGCGGACAAATTGCGCCGGACTATTCGCGAGACAAAGGGGAGGAGACAGCGGCGTGACAATCGTCAGGCGAATAATCGCTGCGGAAAACACTGTCCGCGCCATTAGCGCGGTCGTTTTCAGAAGCGAAAATCAACAGCAGCGACGATTGACGTCGGTTGATGATAAGACAAGTCGCCGCGCGCGCGCGATGGCAATTACACCCGCGTCGTCTGTGAGTTATTCCGTCGTCGTTTTAATCAGCGAGAGAGAAGGAGAGTCAATAACGAGACGCCCGTTGCAGACGCGGCGTTGGGAAGCCCTCTCTTTCCGAAAAGCGTCGTCAGTCGCGTCGACGGCGCCGCGTGGCGATCAGCCGCGGCTGCGAAATTTATTCCGCGGCCGCGAGCAATTTTCCCGACGCGCGCTCGCGCGCGTAAATCCCCGCGAGCGATTCGTTTCCGAAAATCGGATTAACGCTGGGAGTTACAAATCGCCCCCGCGGATCCCACGCGCCCCGCGAGCATGATTTATGCGGCGTCCGCCGCGCGTGAAAGAACGCCCCGTTAATCAGCCCGGGGATATCTTCCCACCATTTACAACGGGGATGATGGATAAGGTAATATTTAGCGAAAATTAGCGGCGGGACAGCGGGGGAGGGAGAGAGAGAGAGCTGGGAAAAGAGAGCGATTTCCTTCGACTTCACTTCGATGTACACTGACGAGATTACGTCTCATGAAATCTCTCTCAGGAACTTATTTTCGCTCGAGCAATTTTCTCAAAGTTACCTCTGAGTCGGACTTTTCGATGGGAGTCTATTTTTGTTTAGTATTTTGTTGTTTAGGAAAGTATATCTCAGCAATTTTTTCGAATTCACGTGTACACAAAAATGTTTTGACTCAAAAGATTTTATTATTTAATTTCTTGTACAACCAATTTTTTTTTATTGGTTGTCATCAATTTTTTATCAAGCATTTTCGTCCGGAGAAAGATTTTCCATCGACTTCTTTTGGATTTTATGTGTACAGAGGTGTTCTGATTAAAAGAGCCTTTTTATCGTCCTTTAAACCCGAAGGATCGAGGGTTAAGAGACGTAACATTTGCGTGTCACACTGTCCGTCGTAATTCAGCATATCCTCCCGGCATCATCATCGATTCTTCGACCATCCCCGACCCCCTCCGCAAACAATCCTCCGTATATTATACAGGAGCCAGCTCGTCGTCATATACCGAGTATATTCAGGGTGGGAAAGTTATTTTTTTAAGTGACTCCTTGCCGTTACCATCGCTCATTCGCGAGGATAACTCGTCGCCGTTGTCGTCGCTCGGAAAGTAACGAGTCTTTCGAATCTCCATTTTACTTTCTTCAACAAGCTCCGAGGACCTCTTCTCCTTTCACGACTCGTCTTGTCGTTCGTCAAAAGTGTACGTGCCAAGTAAGAGCGGATTCACACCTTGGCAGAAAAGCAGAGAGCAGGATAGCAGAAGCCAAGAGAGTGAGAGAGAGAGAGAGAAAGAGAGAGAGAGAGAGAGAGAGAGAGAGAGAGAGAGATACATATATACATCTGTCTTTCCCGGAAGAGGCTCAGGCAATTTCTTCAAAATCATTTTTGAGTCTGATTTTTCGATGAAAGTCCTGGGGATCTATATTTGTTTAGTATTTTGTCGCTTAGGAAAGTATATTTTAGCAATTTTTTCGAATTCATGTATGTACAAAGATGTTTTGATTGAAAAGATTCTTTTACGTATTTTCGTACAACCAATTTTTCGAAATATTTTTTGAATATCGGCGCGACTTCTGACCGCATGTTGCCTTTCTGCTTTCTCGCCAAGGTGTGAATCCGCCCTAACGATAAGAGCGAGCGTTGTGCTCGCCACCGCCGGCCGAAACACGCGATTGCCGCACACCACTGTCGCCGCTAAAAAAAGAAGAAATCGCAATAACAGCGCCATCGCATGAGCCCCAACTCGCGTTAGTTTCCCACCCCCGAGTACATCACGCCAGGTGAAATTTGCACGGCGTAGCTCGGCACGACGACGACGACGACGACGACGACGATGACGACGAAGACAACGACGGGGAGAACCGTCAGCGTCGCCGTCGTCGTCGTCGTCGTCGTCGAGATAAATCGATGACGACACCCAGCCGTACACTCTCGGAAGTAAAGGTCGGCAGCCTGCCGCAGCTCGCTGAAGAGGAGCGACGGACACGTCACGCGCTGCGTGGCGTACTTGACGAGCTCCGACGAAACCGCGAAAGAATCCTGCGGCAGCAGAAGGGTTAACAACACGGGCTGGTGCGACGCGATTGCTGCACTGACGTCAGCACTCAGAGGGATGTTGCCGCTACTGTACTATGACGTCATCGACCGGGGAGCTTGCACAGGGTGATTGTCGGCGGTGGAGGTGGTGGCGGCGGCGGCGGTGCTGGTGATTCAGCTTCGCACAAGGGCGTAGGGGTGAGAGAAAGAGCACCGATAAGAATTTCGTCGATCAAGTTGGCCTCCCCTCACACGCGCTGGGGGCGAGGAAAGGGGGAGGAAATACTTCACCCCGGATGATGAAGCCGGCGGCGTGAGCCGGGCGCGTCATCGAGCCGAGTGATCCTCGCGATATTGGTCTGCGGCGGCAGTCGCCAATTTTGGAAGAGCGGCCGCTCCTCGACTTTCGGAGTTGGAAGTTGACCGAAGAGCCGCAAAAATCCGCGGCGACAGGATAATTGGAGTTCTTCCCGAGTTCGACGGGCCGGCTATCGCCGGCTCTCCGGCGGCGGTCTCGCATCCGCGCCTTTGTCCTGCCGATCGAATCGAGGTAACTCGATAACGAGAGAGCCGCCGGGCGACTCTCCGGGCAGAGATTGCGAGAGTCCGGCAAAGCGAGCGACGGCTGATCGCGTCGCCGAGAAGGTAACACTCGCTGGACGCGCGCTTATCTTCCGTTTCCGCGCGGGAAAAAACGTCCGGTCGAGCGAGCGGATTCTCCGGTGAGAAAAATTCCGACCGAGGTCTCGTCAGGACTCGGTCCTAAATCAACGGGAGATTTCGGCTCGACCCGGGCGGAATTCTGGCGCTCTCAATCGGGATCTCTGGATGCCGCTCATATCTCACCGGAAAATCCGCTCGTTCGAGCAAACATTTTTCTCCCTTCCAGTGGCATTCTCGCTTCAGACAACTTCCTCTCGCGCGCTCGATTCGGGAAATCGCCGGCGGGAAACCCGGCGGAGCTCGGTATCCGTCGTCCTTGCTCACTCGTCGCGCATCGCGCTGTTATCCTGTCGCGCGCGCTATCCTCCCTCTCGAAAGCCCCCGAGAGACTCGAACTTCACCCCCGCACCCGGGCGATTTAACGGCGCCGGGCGCTAAGCCGAATTACAACTCTTGTAACGGAAACGCAAATCCAAAGGCTACGCTGCTGCTTCGCAGGCTGTCAAGCACGTGCGCCACCTCCAACCCTCCAACGCGCCCCATAGCCATTTCGGGGGTGAGAAGAGGCAGGGACAGAGAGAAAGAGAGAATTCAAGTCAGCTTCTCCTTCATCCTCTCTCTCTCTCTCTCTCTCTCTCTCTCTCTCTCTCTCTCTCTCTCTCTCTCTCTCTCTTCGCCCGTGTAATCTCGCTTCGTGCCAGCCTCGCCTCTCCCCGACGTGCTCGCGTTATTTCCCGATCCGGTCCGATTCGCCTGTCGCCAATGGCGTAATCGCTCCTCACTATAGCCTCTCTCGGAAAATGTCCCTCCCTCAAGCAGATCGCAAGCTGAGCCGGCGCTCTGGACGATGCAACATCCGCGAGCCCTTGCGAGGAGAAAGGATGATCGGCAAATTACTTCATCGTCGGGGGAGGATATCGTTGCCGAGGTCAAAGTGCGACAACCTGCTCGGAGAGAGTTTTCATCGACTCGAGACTCGAGTTCGCGAGTCGCGTCGCCTCGTCACGTTCCGCGGGAACGATGAAATTCGCGGAGAATCCACGTCCCGACTAGTTTATCTCGTGGTACTGATCAGGTTAACCTCATTTGGACATCAGGTTCCAATAAGGTAATACTATCG